GTCTGTCTGTCTGTCCGTCTGTCCGTCTGTCTGTCTGTCTGTCCGTCTGTCCACAGGGTGATTTGGTGAACGTCATTGAGCAGAACGTGCTCAACACGGAGGATTATGTGGAGCAGGCAAAGGAGCGCATCCCAAAATGCAAAAAGTTTAAAAAGACCAGCAAACGGGTGAGGAGTATCAACACACTGTCCACACAGACTCTAATGGTATTCTTCTCTTCCCCCCTCTCCCCTCCCCCCTCCTCCCGCTCCTGCACCTCTTCCGTCCCTCCGATCCCCCTGTTACTAACCTCTCCCAGGGGGAAATGATAGATCGCATTGAGTACAATGTGGAGCACTCGGTAGACTATGTGGAGAGGGCGGTGTCAGACACTAAGAAAGCGGTCAAATACCAGAGTAAAGCTCGGAGGGTGAGTCTCCTGCCGCCTGTGCACGGAGTAAAAGCATGGCATCGTATGGAAAAGTGACAGATGATTTCACAGTGGTGGCGTGTGCCTGCATGTGTGTGTGCACGTTGGCTTGTTCATCTTGTGGAGGATGTGTGTGTGTTCCATGTTGATGATGGTGTCACTAGTCAAACGTAAGGATGAGAGTCTGTTTCAGACAACAACAAAAAACAAAACACTGATGCACTGAGGATGATGAAGGACGAAGGCCGCTGGCGTAAATGTCGGTGAGCTGATCCGATTGTTTCTTTACATCAACCTGATGCATTTCTGATTTTAAAAGAATGGGGGTAAAATAACATGTAACAGTCAGGATGTCAATTTTTAATTCATTCTGTTAAAGAGTTCGGAAGAAGAAATCTGGACTGGTTTGGTATCTTGAAGAAAAGGAGAGTTTAACATGTGTAAATTAAGGGAATAAATATATAAAATCAGAGGAGTTTAACATAAAGTTTCATGTAAATTAAGGTTAAAAGGTTACTAAAAGGTGAATAAGAAATTAAAACTTCGAAAATTCTATTTCATACAATAAAACTAGAAAAAAAACCTTGTTGGGAAAACCCCTTTCTTTCCTATTATATAAGTGTAATGATAGACAGAGTCAGGTCAGCTCCTTCCCTCTGGTTCCGTTCTCCTTCTAACCCTCCTCTTTCTCCAGCCTACTATTTCTGCCCAGGCTGTGGAAATGGAATTGGACTATCAGGGTATAATCACATCATTCTGCTCCGCCCCCCCCCCCCCCTCCGCCCCCCCCCCCTCCCCCCCCCCCGACACACCC